CCTGTTTAATATATATCTTCATGCCATGATGTCTTGCGCTTTTGAATCGGCTTGTGCTTACGGTGTTCGTTTGGAGCACCGTATTGATGGTGGGTTGCTGAATATCCGTCGTTTCGGTGTGAGAACTCTAGTCTGTGAGACAACTATCCGTATGTTGCTGTTTGCTGACGACTGTGCGTTGTTTTCACACAGCGCCAACGAGTTGCAGCACATGACTATTGCTCTGGCTTCGACAGCGACCAAATTCCGGCTCACCATCAACACAAGCAAAACTTTCTGTCTCTTTCAGCCTTCATCGGAGGTGCAATCTTCAATATTGCCGCAAATCAGCATTGGTGCTGAAGTATTGGAAACCACCTCCCGCTTCTACTACCTTGGGAGTGTGATGTCGACTGACCAGCAGCTACACGTTGAGTTGCGTATTCGCGTGTCGAAGGCAGCGGCAGCATTCGTGAAGCTAGAGTACCGAGTGTGGAACAACCAATAGCTTACCATTGGCACGAAGCTGATAGTGTAAAATTCATGATACTGTCCGTTCTTCTCTACGGCAGTGAAACGTGGCCGATATACCGTCGGGATGTGCGATATCTCGAGCGGTTCCATCAGCAGTGTTTGCGACCATTTTTGCGCATCACTTGGGGCGACAGAGTTGCTGACACGGAAGTGTTGCGCCGAAGTGGGATGTATGCAGTGGACTGCATACTTTTACTGAGACCCCTGAGATGGCTCGGTCATGTGTGGCGTATGGATTCAACGCGGATACCGAAGCAACTCTTATACGGTCAGCTGAGTATTGGGAAGCGGCACGTGGGGAAACCAAAGTTACGTTACCAGGACATTATCAAAGTGAGGTTCTCACGTTCTAATCTTGATTGCAGGTCGTGGGAATCGAAGGCAGTTGATCGGCGTGCATGACGCGATCTGATCATGAGGGCAGTTGCCGACGTGCGGTAGAAAGACCTCATGCATACAGAGAAGGAGTGGCAAGTGCGTACGCGGCAAGCACCGATGGGTTATACTCCATCGACATCGAGCGCATGGTGCTGTAGCATTCGCGACTGCCTTAGTCAGGCAGGCTTAGTGAGCCATGAGCGAGGCCACTCGGGACCCCTACCGAAGCGCCGACGGGTTCTGCAGAGAACATATGCAGAAGCGGCGCAGCGTTTGTAGGTACGCTGCATTCGATTTACTAACCGCGTGCTTGCATGCTAAGTCTATTTATTTCAGGTGGTGGGTTTTCAATTTTGCTCTAATGCTTTTCTTTCTCATATAAATGCCTAATTATACTCTCTTCTATACACTTGCACATGTCGCTTAAGCCACTTGTAGCTATTTCGATAACATTTCGTGTTTGTAGCATTTCCGTAAAATATACTTTCCGACCTCGTGAACTTATCTCGGATTCTTTTGTAAACAACTTATTTCATATGCTCATTAATTTAAGATTTATGGCACCGTTTCCTTATGCATTACTCGATTTATTTTCCTTGTTATCTTTTTCTCAAGTGATTGGCTGTTGCTTGATATCCCCGGTGAGGTTGCGCTTGATGTGCATGTTGACAAGGTGCCTACCTGTCTATTACCCACTACCTCGTCCATACTGACTCCAGGAGACAGTTGGTCGTTGCTGGAAGGGACGGGGTGCACGATCCTTATGGCCGTGCAATGCTCGAATAGCGGTTCCATGCACTCAGTGTGGAGCGGGCCACGGTCCAGCAACCGCCTTGTGTGCGTTTGGTTCCCAAATACAGGATGTTTGTGTTTGCCTGTGAAGGAGTGTGGGCCTGCTCCGTTGATGAAACGTGCCTCCCATTCACATGCCTCCCGGCCTTATTCCCTCGGGTTTACACTGGACATGGGGTGTGTGATTGGAGCTGTGGGTGGTGCAGCGCAAGCCGCCCATGGTCTCTCTGTAGCCGCAGGCGTCATGTGACTGTCCTGAGGAGGCCACAGTGACAGGCAAATCCCAAACCGGATGCCGTCAACCATATATGTATGCTGCAGTCTTCTAATAGACATAGATTCATCTGAAACCATGGAAATCATAGGGAGGTACAGTTATCACAAAAAGAAAACCGAACACAATACAGCGAAATCGATATTTCTGCGGAGGCACGGTGCAACCCGTTTGCCCAAGCTAAGTGTTATGTTGTCTTAACGGACGCCACCCGGAGTCTTTGACTGGATATCCTACTCGCAAGGCGGTGCGGCGAATTTAGGGAGTCGCGCCTATTAGGAGCCTGTGATTGCTCAGTTCTTACGCCTTTCATTCGGTCGGTTGCCAAACAGGGGCCCAACCCTTCGCAAAATTACAGCATTACATTGCTTGGATACAATGCTCCGTTAGAGTTAAGCAAAGGCCAGTTTCTTATTTATTGGCAAGCCACATCGCAGTGTTGTTACACGGACATCTGTGGCTTTTTATAGTGGAAACGCTTTTCAGGTGAAAACCCGCCACGTCCTGGAAAACTACCGCCGAACCATTTACCGTAGCGGTATAATCTCGAACCACCCAGGTGGCGCCACGTGAAGGTAGTTCAGCAAGCTAACCTCACAGTTGCATATAGGGAAATTTCTCTGAAGAGGAAAACTCGTGGTCTTACAGTAATCTTTTGTGACATGACAGGATTTTCCGGGTACATCTCCTTTATCCTCTGATAATTCTTTATGTTTCTCTAATGCTAAACACTAATCGTTAAAGGTCTGTTAATCAGCACAATCACATTGTGGTGGGCAAAAGAAGTTACTACTGCATCAATAATCAGTAGTATAGATGTAGAAGCAAGCAAATGCGCGCAGAATATTCTTTCCGATAATTCCCATCGTGCGTGTACACTTATGAAGCATATTGGGGAGAATAAAGCTCATAGAGGCTTGTACAGAAAGTAACCAACTCATTAACTGGGCAGTATGATTTGATGGTTTGATCAATCAGACTGTCGCATTAGGAAGCAGGTGATCAATGCAGGTCATATGTCAAATATAGAAGTAACAAGAAAACCGCACTATAACGAGCTATGCCAACGCGCCAGTAGAATATCGCTTGGGATCCGGTTAAATATGCACAAAATAAATAAAATGTCTATTCCCGACTACGTGAGGCACGCCTACACAGGTATTCTCATGGTAAGAGTACAAAATGTGATCAGTTAATGTAAAATGGGACAATAGGGTTATCACTTATGTTGTCACATGAATGTACAGGTGTTTTATTAATCTGGTCCGGAGCTAGGAGCGACTGCACTCAAGTGCTGACGTACGCCGGTACACTGAATTGCTAACTGTCCAATGACTCAAAGTGCTTTTCCGGCAGGAATGAGATGGGACAGAAACTCAACAGGTGTGCTTACGCTCGTATGGCACACCGAGCTGTGAGAGATGAATGTTAACACACACACACACCACAGCCGCAATCGACCTGTCATGCATATCTACTGACATTGCACACCTTTCATGTAAATATAAGTAGATAAATGAATGAATGTACATTCTCCATTGTTAACGATAAATACCATCGAAGGCTTAATCAATTTATACAACTAGCAATTGTCTGACTGTGAAAGCTATAGTTTCATTCATGAGTAAATTTGTGTGTTCTCTAATGGTGCCACCAGTGGATCGGGACAGACTTAAATCTAAGGGCATTGTCACGTCACATCAAGAATTCGTTTTTCTGCACCAATGAAGAGTGAATTTCCGGCTGTAACACACACGCGATGGAAACGGTAAAGCGAACAACACTGTAACCCTACAATGTGCTCCTGGTAGTATGATTTCTTTTAGCAGGAAAGCAACCGCAGAAAAGCTTACAGATTTGTTGGAAGCCAGTCATGAGGCGATAACAGCTTTTGTGGCGCTAGCAATACGGCGCCCATCGACCGGTCATCACATACGGCCAGGCTGTTTTTCTTAGTTGCTAGCACAGCGACCTATTAACTTGTTCATAGGGAACCCATTTGCTGGCTTTTTCATCTGGGTGAAGGCCGACTACCGATCGATCGAAGCATGACATGTTCAGTGCGGATGTGGTGTCTGGCCCACGTCTGGTTCTCACAACCGAACGGTATGCGTTCCCTTGGTTTTGCCTTGCGATTCACGCATGATAGGTCGATTGCGGCTGTGGTGTGTGTTAACGTTCACCTCTCAGCCGAACAACTCGATGTGCTCTGAGATCATAGGTACACATGTCGTGTCTCTGTGTCCCATCTCACCTTTGCCGGCAAAGCAATTTGCGTCGCTGGACAGTTAGTAATTCAGCGTACCGGTGTACGTCAGCACCTGAGTGCAGCCACTCCTAGCTCCGGACGAGATTAATAAAGCACCCTGTATTTATGTGGGCACGTAACCGTGTTTATGGGATTTGTAAATGTTTTCCTGCACTTTTGAGCGTGTCTCCAGTGCTAAAGGGATTCTTGATGTTTGTGGACTTGAAGCAGTTGTCTGGATAAGCAAGGTGATGAGTCACAACCGCTATGTCATAGCTTTGTTAAGCAGACATTTGTGGCTTTTTATAGGGAGAACGCTTGCTAGGCGAAAACCCACCACGTCCTGAAACATTGCCGCCGAACTATTTGCTGGAACGGGGTAAACCCGAACCACCCAGCTGGCATCTCGAGTAGGTTGTTCGGCTACCCAGCCCAAGCAGTGTGCGTCACGCAGTCTCCAGGAGAGAGTCCACGCATTGGTGCAATTTTCGATGGTTAGAATTGATGCATATAGTTGTCGATTTTTGCCAAAATAAACAACTCTGTTCTCACTTTGGGTTCTTACAACCTGACGATGCAGCGGTGCGTTAGCCGTACTCCACTGACTGTAGATGCTGAACACGTGACTTCATTACTTTCCTATCATATTCACTTATTGCATTGCGCTACCATCCTTGGACTTCTCACCCATGGAAGTCTGAAGGAAGCGGCTGGTTGATAGGGACACAAATGTAGCGGCCCTTCTTTATCTAAGCATTTAACTTCCAGTCTGTCTGATTTCTTTCTTTTGGCCAGGAAACTCCCCTTTTCTCGCGTGGTCCGGAGTATCGCCATCGAAACAATCGGCCCACGCATTAACGAGTTCCGATGGCAAGCCGTATGCTTCTTGGCTCTACAGGAGGCCGCCGAGGCATTTCTGGTCTGTCTTCTGGAGTGTGCTCAAAAATGCGCTTTCCATGCCAAGAGAATCACAGTGATGCCAAAAGACGTGCAATTGGTCACTGATTTACAAAATATTCCTACACCCCAAACCAAAATTCGAGTTCACTATAGCCCATGAGATTCCTACTCTTGTCTCCTGTGTAGATGCTTCTTGCTCCCGTATCCGAAGATTTCTATGCTTATTTTTCTATCACTCTTCGCCTAATTAGTTTGTTTGTACGAAATGTTTTATCCTCTCTGCTATCGACACTCTCATAGCATTTGTCTTTTATGATACTTTAAGGTGTGACGACTGTTATGGCTTCATTTCCGCGGGTTAATCGTTTCAGCATATCGGAGTAAAATAGTAGTGTATTGTCTTCAAGCAAATCTTTATTTGCGCTACATCCCCTACACCGATGACCCGATAAATCATTGGACTACAACCGCTTTCATGTCTGTATTTTCGTACCACGTATTATCAACCTTATAAGTGGATCTCGCCGTTATCTCTTCCCAGCAACTGCTTGTCCATCTTATCTGTTTTTATCCCAAGGATCGAGCTTTAAGCCCAACAGGGACGTATTCGTTAAAAGACAGAACTCGGTTATATGACTATCCGTTTAACAATAGTTGTTGGATTGTTGTTTTTATCTAATCCCTTGTTCTACATATGTCACGATTTTTTCATCCACGGCTTCTGAACTATTCAGTTTTTGATCGGAAATGATTACGTCAGAGCTATGAATGAGACGATACGCCGAATGCCTGGCTTTTGTTCCGCTGAATATGTGTCCCACATGTTCGGACGTCATCATAAAACCAAACGCGTAGTTCATATACGGCGATTCTGAACCGTGGTTGTGCTCGCCCGCAGTGAGGCTCCTTCCACCGCGGTGCTCACCGCCGGTACTAGCGTAGCAATGTCTGCTATCCAGCGTCTGCTATAAACTGTTAAACCGATGAATGTCTCGGAGCTTCCAACTATCTCACGACATTCTTGTCATAGCGTGGCTCTGAATCCGTCTAAAAAGATAAAGGATTTCTCAACAAACATCGTCCACTGATGCAGAGGCATTGCATAGGGGGGGGAGGCGGGTGTGTTCCGCTCCGGGCGGGATGTGACAGGAGGCTACATTTTTAGTACAAATAATTGTCCAATACCAAGTGTAGATCCATCGAAATCACCTCCATGACTGAAATGGTAAAAATGAAGGGTGATACTCGTACTGAGACCGAAGATGAAATTGGTACTACAACGTTGATCTCCAGGAAACAGTAAGTGACCTTGAAAGCATGGATGCATTTGGAAGTGTTTGTAATGCTGATGCAAAAGATGTGCACGAATTGGAAGAATTGGAAGTACAACTACAGTTTGACATGATAATCTGCACATCATTCGGTTTTATGGATGTCTATCAGAGGCCTGTTTATATTGACCATGAACTTCTCACTATGCTTGTCCGGCTCTGATTTAATGTCGTGAAGCACGTCGAGCGTGAATTCAATAAGTAGTGCTACCTGGAACGAATACAAAGCTGAGGCTAAGAAGTTAACAATTAACTTGTTTTTTTACGAGAGTTGCGAGAAAACGAGCAAACATTGCGAACACCGATGACGTATTCCCCTTTAAACTAAACGCTGTTTTTTAGCTGCAGGATACTTTCAACTGGATAGTCTAGTTTTTCGATTGAAGGGTTTCAGAAAATGGTTGAAACAATCCAAATGCATATGAATACGAATCTGGCAAATCGTGCGCTCAGTCATTCCTCAACAGCAAAGCTAGCAGTCCGGTTAGTTGAAGGAAGGCAATTGTAGAAAAGACGGCGTGGAATTTTGGCTAAACTATTTGATATCGTCAGGTTTCCTGTCAAGCAAAACAGGACACCGTGTGGCCTCCGTGACTCATCCAGGATGACGAAGGAAGCCTGGAAAAGAGGGAATTTTCAGAATTTGTACATTTGTTGGCCCAGTATTAGCCTGTTCTTCGTGAATATTTGGTGCGAATCTTGTTGGGAAGGAAAATTGGCATTTTTCATTTGTCGCCACAGGTTCAAAATGAATTAGTGAGCATTTTGGTAAAACAGGTGCGAAATAAAATCGTAGATCAGGTCAAGTAAAGCAACTATGTTTGCTTAGTTTTTGATAGCACTCGTGATATATCTCACAAAAATCAGATGAGTGGAAATGAAGTAACGGTACAGTCATTTCTCAGCTACGTTGAGAATAATAGTCAAAGAGCAGAGGAAATTTCTGGATTGGTGTTGAGAGAAGCGGAGGAGCATGAAGTTCAGATTTTCGGAATGTGACTTGTGTTCATGAAACTTCTGCAACGGTTCCTTCCGATACATTTTTGACAGGATAGACCGGTTCTTCTCACCCTGTTCACTTTTAAATATTGCTGGAATGTTTTGACTCAAGTCACCGGCACAAGTACCAAGTGGCCGTAAAATCTAGATGGAGTAGTCGAGCAGGTGTGGCAAACGGTGTGGTGAAGAAGTACTCGGAAGTCGTCACTGAAACATTTCACAGATTAATGAGAAAATGCAACCGCAAGATCAGATGCATCTTTAATTCTCGCTTCTGTATTGTCGTTACCGTTTACTTCGTTTCTGAACCTTTGGAGATCTGTTCTCGTAGAAAGCAAGAATGCATAGATATGTCTAAACAAAAGTGGCCGGATCTGCGACAAAGTTTTGTCAAGTTTATAATGTTAACCGTTTCCCTTCTTCAAAATAGAGAGGAAATGTTTGACATTGTAACGGATGAATCGAAGAAACACTACACTGAGTTGGGTGTAAGCATGAAGTGTCGAATTCGCGGAAAGAAACGAATGGACAGAGCATCGTTTGATATATCGATGAGTTAAAACAAGAGATAGTTGTCTGTCATAGACAGTTTGACTGACAAAATGCTATAGGTTTCACCAAATTCATGACCTTGCAAACAAATATGCTTTTTTGACACCGTTAAATCTGCTTGATAATAACTATAGTTATTCGCCTAGCGACGTTGAGGAAAATATAGATAAAGTGGAATTCCTTGTCGAAAGATTGCAGTATTTTGTGAAAGATTCAGCAAACGACAAAACTGACGGATCTCCTGTGTTTGAATTTCACTCATAAATATCACTTTTGGAATCTGCTACGCATCTTGCTTACTCGAACTATTAGCACAGCCAGCTGTGAGAGCGCATTCTCAAAACGCAAGCTTATAACGAATTACCTTCAAAAATCAGTGAACCAGACAAGGCTCACGGATTGATAGTTCTCCCCATAGAGAAGGAGTTCGCTAATGGACTGAATTTTGTTGGTATTATCAATACTATTGCCTCAAGTAATGCACGGAAGATGTATCTGTAACTCTTGCTCACGAGTATTGTAACAATATGAATACCTACATTTACGGCAGTACTTTAAATTTTTATATGTATCCGGATATTTAAGTTCTCTTCGCAATTGTGTGGGTTTGCAGATTTACAACTGCTAGGGGGTGGCAAGTTTACGTCTGCTCCGGAAAGCAAAAATAGTTTCTACGCCACTACCCTGATGAGCATAGAACGACGTCAGGTGACGGCTTCTCCTCGCTCTACCTCCGGTCTCGCCATGGCGCATGTCGTTCTAGTCTACTCTGCGGACTCACTGCATTATATCAGGCACAGTGCATAAAATGACCCATAGATCATGATAGTACATCCCGTTTCTTGCGCTAAACAAGTTTCCACACTACAGTGTTTCACGGTCTCTTTCTAGGCTAGACGGTGCCCGGAAAGACGGCGTCTGCCTTGCAATCCAGAGGTCACCGATTCAAATCTGTGTAGGTGCAGGCGACCTCGCAGTATAACCAACTTACGCGTGATCGGTGGTGGTCACGTGGCAGTGAAGCGTCGGTACAATTTGTAGGCGTACTGCTGATGCCTTCTTTAGGCTAGCACGCAGTCCTTCCTGCAGATCTTTGCGTTCGCTCCCGGCCAAAATGCATCGGTGGGCATCCCGTTGAGACCTAATACCTATGCTGGCAAGTGGATTTGCCACACGAAGACAGCTACTGCTAATAACGCCTGCTGAACATGTAACCCGTGACCGTCAAGTGTGTTCGGTCATCGCTTACTCAGATCTGATGCCAGCGTACTTTGGCACGTATTCAGAACAGTTGGCGGGTGTGTATGCGCTCACCGCGACGTCACAAGTGTCCGCTGAAACGAACTCGGAGATCAGCACGTACAAGTGCTCCGAATCGAGCGATCATTTTGGATGCAACCTCTCCAACGGTAACTGTACGCGATGTGATCTATTTGGTTCCATGGCTGATGGGTGCTATGTAACACTCCAGCAGGTGCTCGCGAAAAATATCTGTGTATCTTCACATAGGTGTGGCAACCGGTCACAGTTATCATTACGGGAGCCTACATCGCGTTGGCAGCCCAAATAGAAATAGATCTCATCATTGGACAGTTTTCCTAATTGGGTTTTCATATCACCAGTCATCACTACGCTGTGCTTCTGTGACTAAAGAACTCGATCAGTTGGTGACGGAATCATCTTTCGCCGAGTTAGCGCTACATTTTGTGGGAGCGTACGTAACAATGACAAACAGGCACCAATTAAACCCGTGCGTCTTCGAGGCTTTAAAGGATCCAGCTAGTCGGACGGCGCATATTCGGCTGTTTATTGGAATCCAACCAATTAGGCAACTTCAGCCCGAGGACTCAGAGCAATGCCCACGCCGGCTTGACCGGTATTATGGGTTGCATTATCTCCGAACAGACGCACTGAAGAGGATTGTAGAGTGAGCAGGGGGCTCGAGTCTTGCAGGTAGATTTAGGGTAAGCAGTAGTTATCGATTGAAATGGTCTGGTTTTCGGGCAAGTTCTGCCTGTTGATTGATCTAAAGCCAAGTACGCACATCGAAGCCTGCCATTCTTATCGAGGATCGAGGGCTCCAAATGGAAGCAGATGGGTTGAAGTTGCTTGCTTGATTTAGTAGGAGCAAAACTCCGTGATTGCGTGTTAGTCGGAACTAGAAGGCAAAAAACTATCGAAGTAGGGGAGAAGGATTGGGGGATTGAAAACGGAGAGAAAATTAAATTGGAACGAAGCGATAAGGATGTAAAAGCGCAGGAGAGTGAATAGGAAGTCGCGAAACTTAATCAGTAGCATCCACACCCACATCCACCTCTCTCGGTGCAACAGATAAAGTATCACTAGTAAGTAGCAGGATCTTAGCTGTCATTTTGTCAAGGTCTTCATTGCAGTAGTTCACAAGCTATCTAGCACAGCCTAGTCCAGAAAAGCACCAGACGCGTTTCACCCTATTGGGGCTGGACAGTGGGGCGCATTCCCTCGGTCCTCTAAGGAGGATCGAACCCATGACCGCTAGAGGCAGATGCCAACTAGCCAGCAGCTTAAGCCACTGAGCCATGGGGGAAGTTGGCTGGGCTACATAAGTTGCAAACTAACTGTGATACAGCACCACCTATCTTCCACTGGCAGTGGTTAGCCTGCGAGGTGATGACGTCCTCTCACTAGATGCTCAGTGGCTTAAGCTACTGGCTAGTTGGCATCTGCCTCTAGAGGTCATGGGTTCGATCCTCCTTAGAGGACCGAGGGAATGCGCCCCAATGACCAGCCCCAATAGGGTGAAACGCGTCTGGTGCTTTTCTGGACTAGGCTGTGCTAGGTAGCTTGTGAACTACTGGAATGGAAACCTTAAAAAAAGATAGTATCGTTGACTATCCTTTGCCATGGCCAGAACATCAAGAACTTGT